TTGTGTGTCTACATTCACAATGTATAAGGTCTGAGAGAGAAGAATATTAAAAACAAAACAAAAACAACATAACAGATACTAACTGAATGTTGGATGTTTCTTTTTGTTTTGCAGTATTTTTCAGCTGCTTGAGTATTTCATCAGCTTTTATCAGTAAGTGCAAAACACAAGTCTTAAGGCTGATTTACACGGTACGATTTGTCGCGCGCGACTCGTAGTATACGATTTTCCTACTACAAGTCGTAGGATTTTAAGCCGTGGTTCAAAATCCTACTACAAGCCGTTGTAGACAAGTTGTAGGGGCATTTACACTGTGTGATTCAAGTCGTATACTACAAATTGCACGAGACAATTGTGCCGTGTAAATCAGCCTAACATGTTTTGTAATGATAATTACAGTTGTTGAGGATCATTAGAAGGACTCATTGCTCTAACAAAAATTACTCGTAAGGTCACTGGATCTGACCTCACTGCTAATTTTTACTCATTGATAATCAATTAAATCATGGATGGTCATGATTCTAGTTGAAGACTTRACATGATGTTCTCTGATTGTCATCAAAAGTCGTAAAACTTTACAACATTCTAAAAATAGTGCTTGAGAATTTTTGTCATTAAAAGTGCTTGAAAATTGTGAAATTTTGTTAATATAGTGTTGCATGACCCCTGGCAATGGAAAYCTATCCTTAACATACAAAGGCTTATTATCTTAGTTTAAACAATGAGAGAGTGTGTTTTATGAAGTCTTTATACCTAATAATACACATAAGAGTTAAACATGGAAGATGAATTTAAGAAATTATTTATTTATTTTGAATTGATTCTTGTAAAGGCTGTGGATCTGACATTTACTTACAAGCTGGTACATTTAGTGTAAATCTCGTAAGTCCTGGTCATCCTTCCTACTACCCATCAGGCACCTGCAAAAAATGGCGTATTACGGCTCCGTCTGGCAAACTAGTGCAATTGAAGTTCATCAGCTTTGATTTATATGGATATCCAACATGTTCAAAATCAAGTGATGACACATTAAAGATTTATGACTCATTTAGTTCAAGTAACTTGATTGGA